CTTAGTAACCAGCAGTGATATTGGACAAACTAATACGCGTTTGGCTATAAGGTAATGTACTTATTAACTACACAAGGTGCCAGTTACTCTAGCATTTGTTAAAATTGCATAATCGATGGGCCTATTATGCCTTTAAATTATTATATATGCTTGTCTGTACTGTAGTTTTCTGTAGGAGTTACCCAGCTATCAATAAGCCATCGAGAACGATATTTATTTGCCTGTTGAATCAGTTACTCTGTATTCACTAAGACATAAAGCAGCTTGTGCGGTGGTAGTCAGATTAACTATGACAACAGACTGTCACGGAGGAACGGTTAATTCTGATCAGAACGACCAGATTGACACCTTTTCACCTCTCCACTAAACAATGTAGAAACCATCATCACTCTACCACGGACACAAAAAACGTGTAATACTAAGTATGAATAACACCGTATTTTTGATATCGCTACTAAACATAATCGGTTAATATAACAGGTATAAAATGACCATGCATAACAGTGTACTTGCTCGTACACGAAATTTGTATGTAGGCCCCTACACTACATGTATGTGTATTGGTTAATTGACGACCGGTTTTCCTATAAACAAAACCTTAATAACCCGAGCTTTCAGCAATTTCCACTGTATATACTTAAAACTAATAAGGAAATGGCATTCGATTGAATTTTTAACAACAAGCTAAGCAGATGTATCGCGATTTATAAAATAAACACATTGCAAACCTCTCTTCGACATTTTGGATTTGGAAAAGGATCCACCAGAGGTCGCAGCTGTTGTAAGCGGCAACGAGCATTCAAGGCAAATATCAATATATTCTACATTCTCTGCTATTCAGCACCCGGCAGTTAGATGCGATATGATATGACTACTAGGCACTTAGGATATGACTACTAGGCACTTGAAAAAAAACAACCCCTAACCCTAACCCTAACCTAACCTAAACCTAACCTAAACCCTAACCCTAACCCTAAAAAAAAAACATTAAATTCAATTAAAGTGTCTAGTAGTCATATCATATCGCATCTAACTGCCGGTTGCGCTATTCATTCCCTACCCCGCATCTTCGTGTATGGATTGAAATGACATTTCCTTATCAGTTTTAAGTATATACAGTATAATGCCTAATTAATCTCTGAAATACCACCTCTAAAAAACGAGTTTAGTTTAGTTTCTTAGCCACCACTTAAAAAACATGCCATATGTAGTGTCTCAATTTACACGCTTTTTAGAGGTGGTATTTCAGAGATTAATTAGGCATAATACTAATAGTAATGCTATAAAATAACAATAAATAATAATAGTAAGCAATAGTGCATTGCGGATTAAATTATTTTAAGGAAATGTAGACATAAAGTTGAGGAATGTTACATAGTCATACGCCCTATGGCATGTTTTTTGTTTCATAATTCGATTTTTGTTTTATGGTTGATTTTATCACATATAACATTCGATTTATCACATTATTATACTAGCCACTAATTATAAATAATTTTATAGCTAGTTAAACCTGCCAAAAACATTTTGTGTAATAGGTGACTAAGCGGTAAAAACGCGAAAATCTCAGCACAGGGCGGTAGGTGCATTGTTAACCCAGGCAGCGTTGAACGTGTTAATCTCCTGTTAATCAATCCAGGCAGACAGGTTAATTGTTTCACAGCAGGACTAGTCATCAACCACAGATTCCATAGAAACCATTAGCCATCACACAAAATCGCACACACCATACTACTCACCACCCGATCTGTTGCATTCGTAAACGCATTACCTTTCTTTCTCAACTCCGGTTTCCCCTTCTTCACTGTGGCTACAATCATGTCTCCTACAGCAGCAGCTGGTAACCTGTTTAGTCTTCCCTTGATTCCATGGACAGCAATAACAAACAGGTTCTTGGCACCTAAACAACAACAACAACAACACAAGCATTAACATCAAGCCCGGTATTGACGTAAAACAGAAACAGACAAACTTTGATCGTAACATATTTATGTAGCATGGGTATACTATCAAACCCCACTCATAGAATGAGCACAGCACACCCTCGTGGTGTTAGCGAAATCCCAGCATTTAATTTTGCACAACTTCTACACCCAACGCCCGGACAAAGACAGACGATGGGCTCTAGGTCGTGCGACACATAAAAAAACAGATCGGTAATGCGTCTACAAGACCATTATTTAAACGTAAAACTAACAGATTCGGATCGCTGGCACGTGCATCAAGCCACACACGACGTTACTAGCGCCATATACTGTATACGCTGTATGTTTCGCGGTGGTTTAATTTTCTCAAATTTCACGAACGCGTCCCCGACCGCGAAAATAACAACACGCGAATAATTCATACCGAATAATGCGTAATTCTCCAACCGCGAAATTAACCACTCGCGAAATTGTCTGTGAAGTCTGAATTCGCGAAAATACATGTACACAAAAAATATGGCGTACGGTATAGTACAGTACTGGACGCCGTTTTGCGTGGATGGGTCGGCACATCCTAACTTCGCGCATGGGAACGAAGAACGGTACCTGTGTTATCTGCACAGTTGACAACGGCGCCAACTGGCAAGCATAGCGATATGCGGAACTTAGCTCCAGCCGATCCACCACGTCCTAAAATTGGAAAATTCACGATCACCTTCAATTCTCGGACGCAATGCAATGACAAAAAGCTATCATCATGAACAATACTCGTATTTAGTCTACTGTAGCAGTTACTCTGCTATCGCTAAGCTGTCAAGAACTATATTAAAGGCATAATAGGCCCAATGATTATGCAAAGTTGATGAATGCTACAGTAACTGGCACCTTCTGTAGTTAATAAGTACATTACCTTATAGCCAAACTTGTATTAGTTTGTCCAATATCACTGCTAATTACTAATAAATGTCTAATTGAAATTCGTAAATCTGGTAATCTGGCGCCAACGCTAAATTGGTTGCCAAGCAAAATAGCCTCAAATTCGGTTAGATGACGTCACAAGTTGCTACGGGTGTTTAGCAGAGAATTGTTTGTCCCGGGATGCTTATATACGACTATAGTCCGCAAATGCAGACGTTATAACTCCGCTTTGCTAATCTGAGGGTGCGGGTTTATACATTACTGGGGTCTGCGTCGGCTCGGACTAATACGACTAATGAGCTAGTAGAATGTATCTCTGGGTGTATTCTCGGTATAAGTAAATAACCGTGGGTGCTAATGAACGGGTACCCACATGTCTTCAATTTCGGACACAGGTGTATTCGTTTGACCAATATACGTAAATACGCGTAGTGCCGTCTGCTTTCCATGTTTAGTCTGTGGCCGTGGTTAGTCCGCGATCCCCCCATAGTGTTGGTCCCCAACACAGCCTACTTCATTATCACGAGCGTCCGTGATTCGTACGTGGATTCCACGTTCATTACAATCAGAGCTACTGTTACGTATACAGTTACGGTACTGTACTATCGCTAGCATTGCGTACGGCCGAGCGAAAATGCATGCGTGCGTGCGTTTTTGCATGCGTGCGAAAATGTCCGGTGCACTATAAATCTGTATCACACCTGTTTCGCAGTATGCGGTTTCGAAACTGTAAACAAGTCAGTCAACTGATTTCTTGGACTGCGGATTTCAATTAGACATTTCTTAGTAACCAGCAGTGATATTGGACAAACTAATACGCGTTTGGCTATAAGGTAATGTACTTATTAACTACACAAGGTGCCAGTTACTGTAGCATTCGTCAATTTTGCATAATCAATATGGGCCTATTATTCCTTTAATGTTTCTCTACTCTATTTCGCCTATNGAGAGAGAGAGAGGGAGACAGCGAGAGCGCGCACGATCAACTGCAGTCTCCCTGGTAAAGGCAGCAGCCGAGAGTTTACCACACTAATCAGGTCGCAGCCGTCTCAATCCATCACCACAGCTGACACGCCTTCCACCCCTTCCCTGTCTCGTCTGCCCCTGTGAAGTCGCCGCTTCAGAAGAAAGGCAGTCGTACATGTGCCGCGCGCCAACTTTGCCTCACGCTCTCTGTCTCTCCCTCTTTCTCTTCTCCTCTACGCGCGCTTTCTCTGCTCTCTCTACTCATTCTACACTCTCTCTCTCTCTCCTCTCTCTCCTCTCTCTCTCTCTACTCTCTCTCACTTTCCCTCTCTCTCTTTATCACTAAATTGCACACTCGCTCGCTCTTTCTCCTCTCTCCCTTCTCGTTTTCCCCTCTACCTCCCCCCTATCTTTCACTTTCTTCCACTCTCTCTCCATCGTCTCTCTTTTCTACTCTACTCTCCTCTCTCGTCTCTCTCTCTCTCTCTCTCTCTCTCTCTCTCTCTCTATTTCTCTCTCTATTCTGCATTTCTTTCTCTCATACTCGTCCAATAGTATAGAAATGCAACTTGTTACTAACAGCGCGTTCTGTCTTATTGCTTAGGTGACTCATTGCCTTATTGGTTATTTATGAAGTGAACTGTTTACAGTCTTGTTCTGTCATCATCGATATCACTACCACAAAATTGTGTTTTTAGGAAAATGTTAATTTTGCAAAGTTTCGTGTTCATGAAGAGTGTGTTTCGACTCGATATCAGTTCGAATGTATAATTAAGTGCGACGGGTACGTAAAACTATATAGCATTTACTCATTATAATATAATATATATATTACTATATATAAATACATAATATATATCACTATATATTAGTACTTATATACATGTAATTAGATATATATATTCTATAATATACTATATTATATATATTTATTATGTATCAATGCTCTGTTGTAAAAAAAAACAATGTCACAGATTCACGCCTTTACTTCTTGTGGCTGATGATGATGATGATGATGATGATGATGATCAATGATGATGATGATGATTGATGGGAACGAGCCCTGCCCAGCATAATACACGCTCCCAGGATCGCATCCTATTGTGACTTCATCGGCGTCGCGCATCACCAGCGCCACCTATACGTGGACGCGTCGTGGGCTATATATAAAAATAAATAAATAAATAAAATATAAATATATATTAATATATAATATATATTATATGTGTGTGTTTGTGTGTGTGTGCGGGTGCCGCTGCAGTTGCGTGCGTGTGGTGTGTGTGTGATATCGGGTTTGAAGAAGACGGTGCGTAAGTCGTGATTGGGCGTGGGGAAAAAACTAGCGCCAGGAATAATTCATTAGTTGATTACGCGAGTGTCTCGTCGCTGGGCGGGCGGGGCGGCGGTCGGGGGCGCAGGGGGAGGGAGGGGGGGTGGGGGTGGGGGGAGGGGGGGCGGCGGGGGGCGCCGCGGGCATGTCAACGTCGATCTCCATCACTACGCCAAATTCAAGTACATCTGCGACGGTCGATAGACGCGTCGAGATCGATTCCGCGCTCCGGAGACTCTGCCAGCCCCAGAGGGGCACGTGACGGTCGCTTCGGTCGTCGCTCGCATCGGGCGTCGGACGCGTCGGCTTACGATAGAGGTGTGTTGGGGGTGGGAAGAGCAGAGCGGGGAGGGGAGGGTGGAGGGGTGAAGAGGAGGTAGGAGGGAGAGGAGAGGGGGTTATGGAAAGTGATGTATTGCGTTTACTTGTACATGTCGTCGGGCGATCTGTCTGAAATGCCTTGTCTTTTCTCCGCTCCGGTGTAGCGTGAGCGTATATGTCAGACGCCCATTATATTGTGATCCGGGTGCAGACTATAATGCACACGCCTGTGAATCCATTGCTACCTGTGAGATGATCCGGGGTACTAGGAGGAGATGCAACTGTCTTTATGCCTGAGTTATTGCCATAATACGTGCCTCAACCTCACAAGGGAATGGGGAGCACTGTCTCATGGCACTGAGTATTGCCATAATAACGTGCTACCTGTTCCACAGGGGGGGATGCACGGTTCTCAGCCTGAGTATCTGCCTAAATAATGTCACCTGTCACAGGGAGGGGAGATGCAGTGGCTTCTTCATGGCTACGTTATTGCCTAATAAGTGCTACCTGTTTCACAGAGGGGATGCACTGTCTCATGTGAGTTATTGCATAATACACGTTGCTACCTCCTTGACAGGGATGGGATACATGTCAATGGCCTGAGTTATTGCCATAATTAACGGTGCTACCTGTTCACAGGACGGGGATGCCTGTCTCTATGCTTGGATGTTATTGCCATAATAACGTGCTACGCTGTTCACAGGAGGGTACATTGTCTCATGCTGATGTATTGCATAATATCGTTGCATTACCTGTTCACCAGGGAGGTGATGCACTGTCTCAATGCTAGTTATTGCCATAATAACGTGCGTACCTGTTAATACGCGCGAGGAGAATGCACTGTCTCGTGATATGAGTTATTGTTTAATATATGTGCTTACCGTTTACAGGAGGAGATGCACTGATCTCATGGCTGAGTTATTGTCTTGAATAATGTTGCACCTGTTCACAGAAGAGATGCACTGTCTCAGCTGAGTTTATTGCCATATAACATGCTACTCTGTTCCAGGGAGGCGTCACTGTTCTCATGGCTAGTTATTGCCATATAACTGCTACCTGTTCACAGGT